TGGCCTTCTTGGCCACCTGAGCACACTGCTGGCTCATATTCAACCGACTGTCCACATGAACCTCTCTACTCCTCCCATTTTTGGTAGGAAGTTTTTATGAACATTTGGCATCTCGGTCAATCCACCATTGTAGCCCAGAATAAAAATGACTGGATTCATATGTGAATCCAAATTTAATTAAGCCTATATATGGCCTGAACCAAGAATAATTTACTGACATACTTAATTATGCATGATAAAATGCCAACCATTTCTCCACAATGCCATCACTTGCAAATCTTTCATGCCCGATTCCCATGTTCTTTTAGGCCTGCAGCTAAAATAGCGGGATTCAACATGGATTTAGTTATCTATTTCCAGTGCAAATATATAAAGAATCACAATTTTATGAGTGTCTTTCTTCTGGAAGGTATTTCCCTTCATTTCTTCACTTTCTGTTTGAAATTATGCTGTCTTCCTAGCATTTTATGTGTGCATATATACAAGTGAAAGCTTGTATATAACCTTGACAATCAACTTTATTTTCTGACTGTTTCTCAAAATAACCTGTAAGGTCTTCTTCACCTGTGAGTTAATAAAATCCATCCACATATTTCAGTAGTCTTTAAAAATGCAGTTTTCTCTTCCATCCCTCTCCCTTTCAGCCTGGAGAGTGGAATAAAATTTGGGTAAATGCATGGTGACTGGAAACTTCTTAAGATATTGGTCTTTTCCTAAATCTCTCACAGCAATCAAAGCTTAGCCTCACTTCAGAAGCATCTTTTCAACATACCAGAAATCTACAAATCCGCAAAAAAGGTCAGAAATTAAAAAAAAAAAAAGTAATAAAAAAAAATCTTCAGAACTCCCTTGTTTTTTGCCAATTTGTTGCTTCTTCCCTGTAAAGTGTTCAGTTCAAATAAGTTTTTCCATATAACCCATATCTAAAGTTATCTTTGAGACATTCTGATGAGTAGAGAGACAGCCAGATGAATACTACTAATTCATGACACTTTTCTATATGGGTCTGACAAAGGAATCTTCTACAGATTATTTTGATATCTTTATATATTTACAGCTATACATTTCTAAGACTTTTGTCCGCTGTACCTCATTTTTGCCCTGGATTTAACACTATAAGAGCAGTCTGTTTATAAGCACTTCAGCTGGGAGAATTTCAGTGGAAATGGTTAATGCTCAAATAATTAGCCAGAACAATCTACTTTCAAAGAACCATGGTAGGTTTCAATTCTGATATTGATTCTAACTCCCTACTTTAAAGGCTGCACTGGCTACTTATTTGCTTAGAGTTATTTGCTTCCGATTGCTATTAATAATCTATAACTTTTAGAGGTACCTTCATACAGATTGTTTAAACCATCATTTGGGGCAATTAACACCAATCCACTCTTTTGCATCAGTAGCTTGGTAGGACCAGAGGCTATACATTTCCAAATCAGGGCCCTTGCCTTCAAAAAGTTAGAAGGACAATGGATTTTCAACAATGATTATCGGATGTATAATACCAATTTATCTATCATTAACCAATTAATTTGTGAATCCATTTGTTAAAGAGGTAAACTTATGGCTTCTAACAAGAGGAATGAGTAGAGTGCAAAAGATGACATTATGTGAGAAGCTGGTGTGAAAACTAAGGATGAGTGCAGGAAGGTGACAATTATGAGTATGTGCAGGGACAGGATGAGTAAAGTAAGTGTAGTAGTGATATTTTTCTATGGGGTTAGCATGACTGGAAAAGTTCTCAGCTATAAATATATATATATAAAGACAATTAAAAAAAAAAAAAAGGAGCTATACACAAGGCTTGCCTAATTCTTTCCATGCCACATCCTTTGTTCATGCTACTAATTTGGATCTCCTTATCACTTTTTATCAATGGTTGCTATAAATCTTTCACACAAGTATGAATGCCCTACACATAACACGGTTGCTACAGTTGTTATTCTGACCTCTGAACAAATTATTTGCATTGTTTTTAATACACAGGTGACCCCTGTGTATTACATAGGTGGTGATAGAGGACCCATTCACTGAAGTAAGTCTTTGAAAAGATAGCTCAGCATCAGTTCAACATAGCTTATTGAGGATGAAATGAATAACATCTGTCTTTTTTTGTCTTAATTCTTCCTTCAGTCTGTTCAAGACGGAACCAAATGTCTGGTTTAGTGTTTCTGTGTGTGTCAGATACAGATGTTCTGTTACACATGTGAATATTTATGTTCACAAGTCTTTTGTACCTTTTAAGTATTTTATTTATTTTATTTTATTTTATTTTATTTTATTTTATTTTATTTTATTTTATTTTATTTTATTTTATTTTATTTTATTTTATTTTATTTTATTTTATTTTATTTTATTTTATTTTTTAACTTTGTCCTTTTTTTTCACTTGTTTTCCCGTCACTAGGGTAATAACACCACTTCCTAAACCTTGTCCTTTCCCTAGATACTGATCACATCATCTCTGGGTGCTACTCCACTAATAAAACAAATAAAGATGTGGATTATGGGATTCTTTATAGACCTGCATGGAACTCATCTGGCTCAGCTGGCAGAGGTCGTGTAAACCTTCTCCATCCGTTACAGTTTGTGTGGTTTCACACCCAACAAATGTCAAAGCAGAATGCAGCTGCAACTGCCAAGTTTTGTCTGTGTTTGGGTTAAGCCATAAAAGAACCCACCAAATTCCACATCAGTCATTTCAGAGCTGAAAGAAACCACCCAGGTTTGGTGAAGAGGTCAAGAATTTGGTGAACATTTTGGCAAAAATGACCTGATCAGTGGCTCAAGAAAACCTTGTTTTTTCAGAACTTGTATAGTCTGACCATCCTGATAGCTGGTCCATCCTGATGCCAAACAATTTCTGTTCCCTATACCTCTTATTTCAGAAAGAAAGCACAACCATGACTTGTTATTCTCTTTAAGTGTTTTCACTGTGCTCACTTGCACAATTTCTGTCAGTGGTATAGATTGTTAGGTATTAATACAATCCTACCTAAGCTGATGAGGTGTCACAAGATTCTGAGCTTGAAGAGGAAAGCAGAGGTCATGAAAACATTTTCAACTGAAAGTTTAGCAGTGACACTGACTTGGTTACAATACTACCAAGTGTCTCTTTCCAAGGATATAGATGATCTCACAGATGTTAAGAGGACTTACTTGTCTAAGGTTCAGAGCATGCCTGCAGGCTTTACAAGGTCAAGACAAGGAGCATAAAGAAGTACAACAGTAGTATGCTTAGCATCTATATATTTTCTAGTAGCAACATCATTTTGGATATCATCTTATCACAAATAAGTTTAAGACCAACCAAGGAAGACTAGACCTGTGCTTCTAATAGTCAATACAGGTGACTAGATGGTTTTCTGATTCATTTTAAGATGAAGGTAAATGTCAAGTGTTAGTTTATTTCCTGTATATGGTGTCTCGAGGATGTTTAATGCCTTCCACTTCCTTTTAAGAAACAAAGGTTAGGTGTGATGTATTTTCTAAGAGGAATTAGAAATTTCCTCAGTCAAATGTGGGAAGAGACATTGAAAATCAAATTTCTCACTAACATCTTTTCAGCATCAATTCTACCAAAAATTTTTCTAAAGTTCAAAAAATTCAGACTTTTCTTTAGCCATTACTTTGGCTTTCTAGGTCTTTTCACTTCTGTGATTTTGTGTGGAGTAATGCCAGAGTATGATGAATTCTCTGCTAGTATAAGTCAGTTCTCCTGACATCAATGTACTTATTCAGTTACAAGTCGTTATAACTAGTCCACTGTGCTCTTAAAAAGCCCAGACCTCAATCAGACTCTAAGTCTTGCATGTGCTTTGAAAAAAGTATTCAGTTTTGTCATTGACTTAAGTGCACCTCAGCTTTTGGCATTTATTGCACAAGTATGTTGGGGGAAAAAAAAAAAAAAAGTGCCTTGATCTCTATTAACAACCAAAGCACTATGTAAGTTTCCTCTTCTTTGCACAGATGGGAATAATTGTTATGCTATTTTTTTACACAGTTTTAAAGATATCTTGTGTCTGGCTACATTCAATTGTGTTACAAAACTCACTTGAACTACTGAATTCAAGAAAGAGGTGTCACCTAGAGAAGAATGTGACACAACAAGAATGTGCTACAACCACACAGAGAAGCTGGATGATTTCATTCTGAGCACTCTTGTGAGAGCCACACACCACAAAATGTTATCCCAACATTGAGCACTGTAAGTGTGAGATATGGTAAGTGGACAGCCCTTGGGGGAGAGAAGAAAGGACAAGAAAAGGATTAGGATACTGAGCTAGTTGATGAGGAAAATAATGATCTCAGTGCAAATTTGCATAATCCTCCCTATGAAATAATAGCATACATATGGTAAATGGAAAGTGATCACTTAACTTCTGCCAGCTAATGCTTTGTCAGGCCAAGATCCAGTATTATTTTCTTCAAATAGGTTTCCTGCCTCAAATCAATTGCAGTATTTTATTAAAAATATGATAGAAACATTAAAATGGATATGTATCGCTATTTTTTATTGGAAGGCCAGTTTTGTATGTGCTACACTTCCATCAGTTAGTAGGGAGTCTCCTTTTACTTAAGCTCTTGGGAAATCTGCGGAGGTGTTCTTTGGATTTCATTGTAGTTCCCTTTTGATTGGCCTTAGCAGGCACCACAGTTACCATGGCAGCCTCTAACAGGATAACAATTGGAAATAGTTTTTCATGGGCTGTGATGACTATGCCCTGGGATGCCTGTGCAGGGATCTGGGTCATTGCTAGGTATGAAGTTGCACAGATATGAGTGACTTCGTCTAGAGTTCATTAGAGATTTCTTGTCTCTTGCCAATTACTATTTGATGATTGAAAAATACAGACCACAGTTGCTCTGGGAGCATCACTGTTCAACTGCAGGAAGCAAATACCTTAGAGGGAGCTAGAACATTGCAGAACCATAGTGAGAAAGCTAAAAGACATATAGCCCCAACATACCACTTTAGCACTGTATTAGAGACTCCCTTACCTACTCGAAGCTCTTGTCCAAAGACTGTTTTCTCTCCCAGCGCAGAGCAGTTCCACCTCCCATACCGAAACTGATACTGGCACTCATTGATTCCCATTTGTGCCCCTTCTCCGATCACAATGATGGCATCAGGGCGGCTCTGACAGATCGCTCGCTGCCGAGGGGCCAAGCCTGGGATTTTGTTGCAGATGATATTAGCTCCTAAAGCCACCACAGATGACAAAGCTCTGAAGAAAAGCAAAAAGACACATTAGAACCAGGATGAGGCTATTAATTGCTTTTGCTGTATGTTGCCATGTGGCAGGCAAGGCGCTAAGTAAATGAGGAAGGATTGGAAGTTTAGTTCCTATAATTCTGCAGATTTATCCCAACTTTTTTGATCTGGTACGAGGATTTGGAAATTTTGCAGTAATTCTTGGTCTGATTTGTGCCAGAAACACCACAAAAGTGGAATTTTGCCACTTCTGCTTCCAGTCCTACACACTGCCATCAGATGTTTAGATGTGGAAAGTAAGTCATATTTAAAAAAAAAAAAAAAAAAAAAGGAAATAGTGATAACTGATTGTATGTGAATCTCTGAAGTTAATGTCTGCTTTGAATGGCCTACACAGATTCAGGCTCAGTGTTTTAATTACTGCAGCCCATCCATCCATTACTCATTTGAAACCATTGAACACAATTTAGAGGATGACTTGACAGTACCAACTTTCTTGCCCGTTATTACACTCTTGTACTGGGTGATTAATGAAAGTTCACCAGCATAACTGCACTTCGAGACCTGGCAAATATCATGGAGCACATATGAGTGATCCTTCATATGGGATATCCAGACCAGAAACATTTGTATTTCTCATTCTTCAAGTATATTTTCAGCATTATTTGTAAAGCTTACATATAACTTGCACCTGCCATGTGTTTTCACTTTAGTGCATTTATTTTTTATTTTTCAGCATCATTACAGGCTCATTTTTCAACATCAGTACAAGCTACATTTTAAGCAGTTATATTTTGAAAAAATAAGACAACGTGGGTACACATTCAGGTATGCCTCAGGTCACATCTGTCAAGTACCAGCAGGGACACTTCAACTGACTCTGGGTAAGCCAGAAAGAGCAAGGAAATCAATATAGTTTTGTTAGCAAAACAGTCCTTTCTCATCCCAATGTGTTGGACCCTGAGACAGCTACACAACTTAGGAGCCTTCAGTCCATTTTCAGAAAACACTCTTCAGCACCCAAGTCAATGAAACACTTTGGAAAATGTCTTCAAAAAAAACATACACCACCAAAAGGGAAGAGCTTGAGGCATACTACCCCATAACGATGTATGTGGTCATTATTACTGATCCACATCCCTGACTAGTTATATAGACCTTCTGAAGCCTGCAAAAGCCCCTGCTGCATGGACTAGCTGGCTTTTGTGCTCGGCAGACAGCATCCTGTTTATTGACAGCTCCAAGGAAGTACCTCTGCAAACTTTTTCCCCTCTGTAGCTTTTCCCAGCCCAGTATTGGATCATACAGATAGTTTTGTTTTCCCATCCTGTTAGTTACAGGATACAGAATAAGTTCCACATTCCTTTTCTCTCCATCTTGAACACTCACTTATGCCTCTCTTCTTAGTGTTAAAAAATTCCCATTGGAAGTGCTCATTTTGGAAAATGCTGACTAAATAAAATTGAAGCATTTTGTAGGAACTTATCAACTTCACCTCAAAGGTAATCAAAATTACATAAATGTTGCATTTAAACAAAATCAGAGTGTTTCATTTTGCCATTTCAATAAACTACAGTAAAACCTAGAGCAAAAAGGGTGAAATGCAGAACTCTTCACTGGTCAAAATAAAATACAAGTTTTACTGTGGGATGGAAATTCCATGATGATTCATTCTGCCTTTAATAAGTATTTGTGCGTCTTTTCCAAAGTTAACAATCCATGAGAAATTTCTCCATTGTATTTTTATTTATGGCTTGGGGCTTTATAGATACGGAAAAAAAGGTATTGCAAATACAGAACATGCATGCCATGTGGTACTACCTACTAAACGAAAATAAGAAGAAAATGTAGTTGCAGCTCTGACCACTCACAGCGTTTGGGGCATGAGTGCTCAGACCTGTTGCTTTCATTCTTGTTTCTCTGAGTACTAAGCAACAAAGCTGGAGCATCTGGAATCCACAACTCCCCAAGATTCAGGCAGGTTTTGAGCTGAGATTTTGTTTCTGGCCTCTCTACTTAAAAAAAATCAATAAAATATTTAAATGAACATGCCTTTAAACCAAAACTTTCTAAGAGATACAATAATGTTAAAAAATAAATAAATAAAAAATGAATGTTGTGTAGAGATAATACGATTCTCTGACTTCCACGATGGTTTTAGACCATCTAACATGTAACTAACATAGTACTTAGATAGTAACATGTGAAGGAGTCATTTCAAATTTCAAGGAAAAGTATCACTTTGATCACTTTAAAATACCAGAATCTTTTCCCAAACCATCTTAGTATCTAGTCTGACTATTTTCAAAGTTACAGCAAGAGAACTGTATCTTGTTCAGAGTATGTATATATCCAGCCACATGATATCATATAGCATTACACTGTTTATGTTGTATAAAGGATAGTAGTTGGGTGCCTCTCCAAGCGACAAAGAAAACATTGTAGTTCCAATTCTAAGCAAACTAAATTGGTAAGTGATGGATGACAGGCAAACTGCAGAAGAGCTTGCAGAGAAGCTTCACTGTACACTGAGGCAGAGGAGAGAGCAAATTGCAAAGACAGGTGCAAAGAGTTTACAAAAATTAGTAGGCTTTTGAACATTTGCTCTGCAATTTCATTGTTGGGCTCTGATGTTAAGCTGTGTTCTCTGGGCTTGCATACCACCAACACCAGAAATAACTGGTACTGTCCCCTTCTCCCCATGGCAGGTTTCACCCCTGGAGCTACATGGGTCTCAAATGATTCAGGAGCAGTCTCACCATGTTTACTTGACAGTGTTCTTATAAATCTAGGCGTAACATGAATATGCCCAACAGGGGACCTGAAATTGCAGCTTGGTCAATGGCTCTTCCACGTAAGGGAGGCTGAAAGGCACACAGGTCAGCCATGCTGTCAGGAAGCACAGGCAATGGGCCAGCTGAGGAAAATTCCTAATCCTGAAGGAATGTGGGGTTAAGTCATAGATGTGGACACACACAAGACTTCAAAATTTAATATGACGTTCAACATATGTACACAAGACACACTGTTCTGGTCCACTGGGTACCCAGTGGTCATTGACTAGCTGAGGCTACATGACCAGTTAACTGGTAAATAACATATATATATATATAATGTATAATATAAATATATTTTTACATTAAAATACTGGTAAAAGTTATGAGATAACTTTCTGGCATCTTTTTTGGAAAAGAAAGCTTCCCCCACAGCTTCCACTAACAATTATCTCAACTTGAGCAGCAAAAACTTATGACTTTCAAAACAAAGAAATGTAAGAAAGGTTTGGCTACAGTATCTACTCCATGTATAATTTACAGTTTAGTTGCTTCCTCCATACACATTGCTACTGTCTCATAATTAGGTTTAAGAGAGTATTCTATGGTCTCCCATTGTTTTTGGAGCAGTCCTTGGTCAAAGTGGGACAGCTTATTCATCCAGAAAATAAGTACCATCATATCTGCCTCAGGAAGTATTGTGAGGATATTGATAATTACTGTGTGCTTGAAGAGAGATTTAAGACCTTCCTTATCAAAAGGATCAAACTTCAGTTACTGGGGAAGGAGGGAGAGGGGGAGGAGACCCTTCATTTTTTAATTACTACTTCCAGGGACTTCCCCCTCTTTGGCCTGAATTTACCAGCATATTCCCTCAGACTTGTTTAGCCTACTTTAAATTGTTACTACAATTTTAGTGGCAAAAGAAATGCTGAATCATGAATCTGAGGTTTTGGAAAACTTTATTTATAATAAAGAAATGCATCCAGCAGCATTTCAAGCTTCCTCTCCGCTATTTCTTGTGGTGTCCCTCAGTTTGTGCGTCTGTCACACATTGAGGAGGACTGTGCTTTACTCCTGTACCTTGGCAGGTTGAAGACCACACTTTTTTTACTTGATGGAGAATGTTTTGCTTTATAACTGTCAAAAGACAGATTCACACACCACATTTTGGCATCTTTTCCCATCTAATCTTTCTCTGTGGTACAAACTCTCATGATTCTTATCACAAGGAAATCCTGAATAAAATGTTTTGATAAGATTTTGGGTGCAGTTTGCTATAATTGTAACCATACCACAGTGCAATAGCCTATGCACAATTCAAAGTGTGATGTTGGGCCATCCACATGGGTTATCCAATTGAACCGTGTTAGTGGGAAAACATTGCACATCGAAGCAATTAATGGTAGTGGCTGGCATATGAATAGTCATCACTGTTCTCCATCACTAATCATTAATGCAAGGGAAACACCAGAACTGAAATTGAGCTCTAAACAGAGTAATTTTCAAATAAATAAAATAAAATAAAATAAAATAAAATAAAATAAAATAAAATAAAATAAAATAAAAATCTGGGCTTGGATAGGACTTTGCAGTTCAAAGTTAACAAGCTAAACCTGAGGAGTGGTGTCTCAGAACCTTCCTTTTCACAGCATTATAGGGAAAAATGTAAGGATCAGAACCATGAAAATTATTGTATATTGCAAGCAATTCAGCAGTTCATTAAAATGATAGGTCTTTGAAAATACTTCAGAAATTAAATATTAATCCCTAAAATCATGTGAGCAATTAACAAGCACATATTGAATGCCATATTGCTTTTCAGAATAAAAATGCACTTTTCATTAACAATTTTTCTAGAGTCTCTATTTTATATTTGCAAATGCAGGCATTTCCTTAACTTTAGCACATTAGTTATTTCATTGATATCAAATGTTATTATGTTCTTGCAACTTCATGAATGTCCTGCATAAGAACGTCATCACCTGAGTTCTATTTTATAGAGGGGCTTTTTTTATTTGCACAAGTGGCAAATACACAAATATAAAATAAATCCTTATAATGGGCAGTTGTACAACCACATGAGAAAAAAAAATAAATCTAGTTTTTACTGTTGTTAGAAGAATCTGCTTTTTAGCAAAGTGATAAATAGAGCTAGCTGTTTATAGATAAATAGGAGTCAGTAACCAGAGTTCTCACCAAGTTCCAGTACAGGCACAAACATGCACTGAGATTTCTC